GAGGTAGAAGCCATATCGCGTACATCCAGGGACCGCAGGTTAATGTGCAACTGCTGTGCACATGCTGTCACCTCTCTCATCGTGTCGAAAACACCGGCGCATGCCGACAAGGACGACCAAGTCAACATCAAATTCTCGTTTGTAATTATGAATGTGAAATCGGCGAACAATGCTCCAAATAAGTCTGCATTTACCCAACCACTCATTTCTTCGCCCAACTCCATGTCGTTGGGTTTCTGGAGGCAATTAAAGCTTTCAATCATACCAAGTCCCTTTACCTTTGGTCAATAGTTATGTCGCGTGCGACTAGGCCCGACTGACCACCGAGTCACGGCTGGCGCACCACTAGTTGAGTCAATACCTGAGAATTTTGCGCCTGGCCAGACGGTCCCCTTTTCAAAGGCATCCAAGCGGTAGCAATCTGTCGATGGCAGATCATAGGAATACCCGGTAAGACCAGACCTGCCTGTTGGCCTATCTGCTAGCTACCCATTGCGTCTACATTTGTTGGCTAGCGGGGCGGCCCTCAGCGAAGTCTGGATGCCGTGTAAGCAGCAATGGACTATGCAGCTGAAGTGCCTCCAGAAGTTGCTGTGCACCTATCCGGTTAGTGACAAAAACGGCACTATGAAGTGGCAAGCGAAGATACCCGGTCATTGGCACAAGAATTGTATTCGCTTGACGCTTCGAATGCAATTTTGAATCTAGAGTCAAACAACAACAAAGGCAGTTAAATGCGCAGTAGATGCAGTATTTGCAGGACGCTGTTGCCACGCAACGACACATTCACTAAAATTAACGGTCCTTGCATTCATCGCAGACATCCGTACTTGACGCAACGATCGTAACCGCAACCGGGGTAGAGGATGCCCCAATCTCATCCGAAGGTCTGCCATTGGCGTGAATACTACCAGTACGGCCACCGGAAATAACGCTCACCCACGAAATTATTTATTCCGCTCGGGCAACGTCTTGACACTGCAAAAGGGGGGTGACGATTTCACTTGGTGGACTGAAGCGAGAGAGCCATGGCGTAGGCGGCTCACGATCCAAGCAACTGTCATCTCTCCTAATGATTTCGGCCTTGTTAAACTTGAAGGTGCGGCCAGGTGTTGTCGGTAGGGCCCAGACCAGAGTTGCCGTCACCGGCCCCCCGCTACGGATGCATACTTGACTATCCATGTCCAGAATTATCTTCTGATTTCTCCAATATAGTTCCTTTGCTCGCATCCACATCAAACCATGCACTGAAAACGGTCCTCACCGGACCGCTCGCGTTCGGACGAAAAGAACGATTACCAACATGGGTAATTGATATCTAAGCCCGACGCTCAATACAGATGATGCGAAAGACGAGATCTGACCCCTGTTGCTTCGAGCAACATTAGGTGTTAGAGGGGATCGGAGTGTGCGCACCGGCAGGGCGGACGTGACGACTGTCACGTCCTTGGCAAATTAGCCACCGGTAGATACAACGGTGGCCGTCTTCGTTTTTCTCAAAATACGGCAGTTAGATCATATAGATATCAAAAACATATTGGGAGTTGGTATTCAAATGACGCGGGGTGAGCGCTTCTCAGTTTGACTACATTCTTGTAGACAACAGCTGAAAAAATGCGGTGCTCGAATGTCGCCTAGCTGGAATCGCCAGGGAGTCGTCAGCCACCTTGTTTTACCGGGAAATTATAAAGCTCAGCTACCCGGTAAATGCGGCATTTGGATTTCAGGAATGACCCTGCTGTGGTTTGCATGCGGCCCTATATACAGAAAACGAGAACTCAAGAGTCGGATAGCAGCCAACACTAACCAGTTGGCGAATGCACAGTAAAACCGAGTAGCTGAAGACCGGAAATGGAGTACTGTGTCGTCAATCGACCTGAACATCGGGAGCCAACTTATGTCGACAGTAGGATACTATTAGAATTTGAACGAGCCACCGTTATTGGTGACACGGCAATCTCACCAGCTTACTCGACGTTTGTTAAAAAGTAGATCCAGTTCCTATTGGAACCATGGAAACGAAAGTTCCGCTTCCTCTTGCGTCAAATAACGACAGATTTTCAAATAGACAAGAGTACTGCTACGAGCTGCTCAGACCACCATGTCTGGATACGCCCGGCACGGCTTTCAACTCAGCTATACTTATAAGGCTTCCTTATGAGTTCGATTGTGAGCCGCCGTCTGCTGCCTAAATTCGGAGTAGTCGCAAGTCTTCGAAACAACAGAGCCGTTGGTGAAAACGAACAGCCAACCGAAGTCTAGAAAGGTCCACCTGCTCTTACTTCTGAGCGGCAGACACCTCTTGCTAGCCCTCCTTCATTTTATTAGTGTACTCGGTGAGGACCATTTGCCATGAGACCTTTGGGTGGGCTTTCAGTTCCGGGCAGAGCGAAAATGCGAATTTCCGTCCAGCGATCAGAATATGCTGGCGCACACAACTAAAGCGGGAGATATCCAGTCCTGTACATTGCGCTCCTAGACTACAAGCGTCCACGTCGAATACAACCCTGACGTCTCGGATCCTACGATGTTGTAAACACTGCTTGCTTGGCAATTCATTCGTGAATAAATAATCTGCCTTTGCTTGCATTGTTGCTACCACAGACAAATCGAGTCACAAACTGAACACTTGGAAAACTGAACTACTGCAGTTATCCCTCCTCCCCCCCCCCCCTAGGACAACTAGGGTACTTTGTCTATCTTGGCTCATTTGTTGACTCTGGAACGGCCTGTGTTCTCACCACACTGTTCAGTAGCAGATAAAGCTTCGTGTATAAGACCACAGTCATTGTCATCCTGCTTTAAGGTTGCAAAACGCGGCTTCTTCGTGGTGCCGACGCACAGAAAATGGAGTTCGACAACTTCCCCCCCCCGATGATTAGTGCTGCTTCGGAGCATGGACTACCCACAATGACAAAAGTCCACCACAAGTCGATGCTGTCTCCTACCGGTGTTTTAGTTAAAAGTTGCCATCTCGAACGATTTGGTTACGCACTCCGGAAACCTAAAGAAGGACTCATCCATAACATCCACATCTCCTATCCTTGTCCGAATTGGGGCCGTCACCGTGGTGGCCGACCGAAAAAAGTGAACAGGTGTGGTAAGGTGAAAACTAGAGGGGACGCTGGGCCCGGATAACGCCGAGTTCCGAGGGCCTGACCGGTGATCCTTATGCATAGATCACACTGGCTAGTGAGGCCACGGATTCACGAAGTGACTAAATCAATACTAGCGGTAGCCGTTAGAAGTCCAAAATAGCGGATTTATGACCGCATACACGACTATGTACGCGATTTGCCAATAGGAAGTTCTTTTCCATACCTAAGAAATACAGAGCTCGAAGCGACTTCAAAACATTATTTTGACGATGTTGACGCAGGTCGGCTATCGGTGTTGGCACGGATGCGAAATTTTATTTATACTAAAATAGGATGTACAAAAATTATCCACGATCAGGCACAATGCACCGCTGAAAATAAAAAACAAGACCTACCATACCGAACACAAGTAAATACGGATGGTTTAAATCCGCCTGATACCATCGGCAACATTATTCGTTAACGTGCATCCAGATAGAGGCCGAATACACGTTCGACCAACCGAACAGCTAACTTCAGCAGGGTATGCCAGAGATGCAGACCGATGCTACGCAAATTCCGGAACCCCATGTCCCAAATACACTTCCTTCGTCCAAACCCGTGGTAACGAGGATGGGATGGACGAGTAACCCAGTCGTACAGAAGCGAGGGAATTCCAAGGTTGCCATGCAGTAGGTTTGGGCAAAGTTCCGGAGTAAAATACCCCTCCGTACACTGGTTACACACTGTCAAACATTGTGCCAAAATGTATCCGGACGTACGTCCGCACTACTTTTATCAATAATTTAGCCGAACTCTATCAACCTGTCATGGAATTAGCGTGTAAACACCGCTCTCCCTACCTTGGATATCCCACCTGACTAGGCCCTGGACTGAGCAGTTGCCAAAGTCGACATTATCTGGTGGGTTAATCGTCCGAAAGCCGGGCTGTGTACTATGTCATCGGTCTATGCGCAATATTTCTCTTTAAAACTAACAGCTTTTGGTGTCTTTTATTCCTAGGATCCAAGTTTTCAATGTCGTGATTGCGGTACCGATGCCTGGAATCGTGTACATTATCAGAGCCTATGGGAGCCCACTTAATTTAGACAGTTGCGTCATCTAACAAGAAAGGAAGCCAGCGCGTAAAAAAATGCGTAAACCTGTCCTTCTTCGTCCTGGATATCACAATTTACGGGTGTGGTTCCTCTTCCGCCCATTGTCGAAAGCCTAACTTCTCAGTCAATAGCGTAGTGGTAGCAGTCTGTACATTACCGACTATGGTCTGTGTGGAGATGACGACGGCCTCCCTCCCAAAACCGACAAGAGTAGAGCATTTCTGCAGTTTCGTTTCATGGTTCTTAGTCCTGGTACCGTGGGCAAAAATGACCATGGGTGCACGCGAATAACTTTCAGAACTTCACAAGATTGAATCCTAAACGTCTCCCTCCAAGCCATCAAGGCCTGTCGAAAAAATGATTTGACGCCCTGGTTTACGATTCGACAGAAAGTGTCGTACAACACCGAGAGGTTCGTTATCGGCCACTGGAGGAGCCCATATCTACCGCCCCCAAGCATTTTCCAGGGTCAACTTGAAACTCAGAGGAGCAGGCGATAGGTAACTACACTGAATCACTGACTCTTCAAGCATTTGCTAGCAACAAGACAGTCTATTCCTTAGAACGCTGGGAGTCGACCAGTTTGAGCATTTTTAAGACCGCTTCAGGCGCAGGTGGCCACTGCCGTCGAATAAAACATACATTTGTCATGCGGTCACTGATAGAAAGAAATAAGCAGAAACTAGCTGCAGGAGGAAACAAGAACAGATACGTTTCTAATGCACGCAAATTTAACGTAAGAGTGTAACAGATGGAAGAAGACTATACAAGACTATAAGCATTGGGCGATTTTCACATGCACTCATCAGTTGTAGAGATCCCTGTTGTCGTCTGTGATCACAACATCTTCGCGTCGTTTAACTAAAAAAATCAGGGTCACATGACTGAATTACTGGAGTAAACGTTCTTGTACTTGAAAGTGCGTTCAACTCCGTCCATTCTACGACAAACGTGTCGATAAAGACTCCAAGAGCCACCTTCTCAATAAACCTTAGAGCTAAACGTTATGACATACAGATAATGGCGAGCGGAATAGCGAATACTAAGTGAGGTGCATTTTTAAAGACGTAAACAGCGTTGGAACGGACTACAGGACAGGCAGGATGAAAGTGCGCACAAACAAACCCCAGGACATCCTAAGGCGCGTCTTCTAACAATAGCGCAATCCAGTCAGCCTATTGAAACAAACTGCGCAACATCAAAATGCTAAATTTTAGGCGTGTGTTAAACAAACCTAATTATCAGTTCCATGCTGGACGAAAAATAACTTGTTCATTATAACTCGCAGCTCTGTCTATATTCTTACAAGAGTACAGGCTGGTTTCAAGCTCAGAACAGGGGACAACGCTCATAGAGCCAGTACTTTCCAATAGAAGTAAAGGGACGAATCTTAGGAAGCTGTCATAACCGCCCAATCCTGGTTGATTTCGCGCATCGTTTAGACCAAAATGAAGCCTTTGGGATAATTTGTCAGTCCAAATAAACTATCTCAGCATCTGCTAGTAACGGTACGGGTGTTTGTCAACATTTTAGGAAACCCGGTCATGTACCTGCAAAGAAACCAAGAGGGAACTCCATGTCCACGCTGGCCAAAATTCAGTTAACTGCGTGCACCCATCCGCGCCCTCCCCTTCCTCCTAATCCTCATTGCCTCCTCGGTAACTGCCCCTTTTGGCTATCTGTACATTCCCACCCCACTTGTATTGAGGACCGACCGTAGTTCCCTCCCCTTATCATTCATCTCTTTTACCTTTTTTCATTCTTAAGCAAATGTTCTGGCCGGATGAGGATATATGTGAAGTACACTAATGCTCCCTGACTGGTTTTTTGAATCATTCCATGGGAATCTTTGTAATTACAAACTCACTGCAGAACAGTTCTGTGTATTCGACAATAATTATTGTTATCCTGGAATCTCCTAGTTAAAAAAGTTAGACTAATTTGCGAACCAAAAATACAGGCCACTAGGAGTATTTCAATAACATCGCAGTTTTCTACAAAGTAGGCTACCCTAGAAGGTGCCGAAAAGCAGGAATTGGGACGGACAACCATGTACTGAAAGTCACTTTATTGAGGGGTTAAGGCTTCCGTCCTACTGATGTATTTGTATTCGAAGGGTTAGAGGCAGAGCCCTTGGTGACCCTATTTATGTACAATGCTTTCGCATATTCACACTTAAAGTAAAGCTGCAAACATCTGGAGTGTTTTCTTATCACAATAAAACCGTAATAATAAGGGAGCGTATCTGTTCAGTGTGAGTCCGTACGGAAAGGTTGTGCATGACAAAGGGTTTTACAAAGCTGGCCGTGAGTAGTCATGTTGTAAAGGTCGGTTTGTAGTGCTCGAGCTACCCAAGGGTACGACTTTGTCTTCTTCCTCTATGCGGCAGTCCGTATATGCTTCGTCAGTGCTTCTGTCAGGTCGGGCGTCTCCTTGACTTAAATTCAGTATAATTCAGTATATATGAGAGATAGAGGCAGAACCTTGGAAAACCCTATTGACAGATAGACATATGAAAAAAACATCAGATATTTACATAGCAGTTATGCCAATCATTGATATCATGAACTTGTTTGACCATCAAGCATAAGTTTATCTAGTCTTCTTTTGAAAGTCTCTACGTTTTCCGCTAAGACAACGGAGTTTGGCAATTTGTTCCATCCCTCAACCAGCCGGTGAGATAAGAATTTGGCCCGCAAATCGAGTCTTTTTTTCAGTTCAGTTCAGTTTATTGAGGGAAATAGGCGTAAGCCTTTGAGTACCGTATTTGTAACGTAAAAAGAGTGTGGTGTACAGATAGATGTTCTGGGCTGAAATAGTTCGAACACGCCCATACTGGTGGGACAAAATGAGAAGAAGTTACAGGGGGTGAGGTCGACTTCTCATCGCCCTTGGCCATTTCGGAACATAAATATGTCCAGATTCTTCTTAAAACTTTGTATAGATGGTGACATTACAACATCTGCGGGAAGCTCATTCCATGGTTTGACCACCCGAACCGAGAAGGAGAACTTCCGCACATCCAGCCTTGCTTGCTGAGTGCGCAGTTTTAACGGGTGACCTCAGAGGTTGGTCGTGGTAGCAAATTCAAAAAAGTCCTCGAAGGCCAGACTGCAATCTAACCCCTTTAAAATGCGGAAGGCATGCAAGAGATCTCCGCGAAGTTGTCTGTAACTCAAAGGAAAGAGGTTCAGACTTACTAGGCGGGTTGCATAAGAAAAGGAGCTTTGACCCCTAACCATCTTCGTGGCTCTCCTCTGGACTCTTTCGAGGCAGTTTCGATCGTCAACAGCCCTCGGCCTCCAAGCTTGTATGCCGTACTCTAAATGCGGCCGGACGAATGTTCCGAATGTCTTAGAGGAAGCTTCTTCGTCAAAGTCCATAAACGCACGCTTGATGGCGTACAGTACGGACATTGCGCTTTTTGCCACCCTCAAACAGTAGGCGGATGGTTTTAGGAAACTCGTCGTCAGCACACCAAGGTCCCTTTGGGCTTCGACCTCTTGTAGGGCTGCACCGCCCAGAAAGTAGCCTCTTGTGCTGGCCGATCTGGCTGTGTTGCCTAGGCGAAGTATGCTACATTTGGCAACGTTGAACCGCAGGAGCCAACGGTTTGACCACTCCTCCAACCGATTCAGGTTCATCTGCAGTCTGTCTTTATCGGCAGGACCCCGAATTACACTCCATATCTTCATGTCATCCGCAAACATTGCTACTTCACAGTCTAAATCTCTTGCGGCATCGTCCACGTAGATAAAGAACAAAATGGGTCCCAGCACTGAACCCTGGGGGACACCACTATCGACCATAGCCGGATCTGATTTTCCCCGATCGATGCACACAACCTGGTGTCGACCCACAAGGAAGTTTTCGATCAGTTTAAGGAAGTTGCCACCGATCCCTATTTTTTTCAGCTTATGTAAGAGCCTTTGGTGTGGCACGGTGTCAAACGCCTTCTGGAAGTCGATGAAGGCTATGTGGACCGCGTGCCTGTCATCGAGAGCTCGGGTCCAGCTCTGGAGAGATTGCAGCAAGTTTGTCGTGCAGGATCTTCCTTTCCGGAACCCATGTTGACAGTTCGATAGCAGGCCGTGAACTTCCAGAAATTGCATCAGTTCACTCTTTATGATCCTTTCCATAACTTTGCAGAGAATGCATGTCCAGCTTATGGGCCTGTAATTTGTCGTCGCTGCCCTCGTCTTCAATTTGTATGGGTGCCCTCGGAGATTTGTCGTCCGTGCCAGTTCGAAGAAGTCGTCAAACTGAAGAGCAAAGTCTAGCCCTCGGACGATCCCGAAGGCCATAATCATGTCCCCTCTGTACTGTCTATAAGAGAGAGGAAATATTTTTAGCTTCTCCAGTCGTCTCTCATAAGGTAAGCCACATAATCCGCCGACTAGCCTGGTCGCTCTACGTTGTACGTTCTCCAGTAGGGTGTAATCTTTTTTCGTCCAGGGACACCATGCCTAGACACAATATTCCAACATTGGTCGAACGTATGCGCCAAATACTCGGCCGAAAGGTTCATCAAAATTGACGAAGGATCTTCTAATCGCGCCTAGAATACCCATAGCTCTCTTTGATACCTTGGCGCAGTGAGACGATGGTTTGAGAGTTGACGTCATCCACACACCGAGGTCTCTTAACTCGTTGACTGATTCGAGTGGGTGACCTCCTATAAAGTACTGAGATTCAAATCTCAACGGCTTCCTGTTGCTCGAACGTAATCGGATAAGTTGGCATTTGTTACGATGGAGGCTAAGACACCACTCATCACACCATTTTTGCAAGCGATTTAAATTGTCTTGTAATTGTACAGAATCTTCCGGCTTCTCTATTGATTGCCACAATCTGAGATCGTCGGCAAACATTACTAGCTCGCAGTTCAGACAGTCCAGGCAGTCGTTCACATATATTAGGAACAGAATTGGACCCAGAACGCTTCCCTGCGGAACGCCACTGTGCACGGATTCCCATTCCAATTTAGCGTTTCCGATACACACACGCTGAGATCTGCCCGTAAGAAGATCGGCTAGCCATTTCAAAAGATTTCCATTCACACCCACTTGACGTAGTTTACATATAAGTCGTCTGTGGGGAACACTGTCAAAAGCCTTTTTGATGTCGATGTACACGGCGTCGACTGATAAGTCCATGTCAATTGTTTTCGTCCAGCTCTCCATGGATACTAGGAGGTTGGTGAGACAAGATCGACCGCTTCGAAATCCATGCTGATGTAGACTGAGCAAGTTGTTTTCTTCGAGGTGCCGCATCAGCTCCGTTTTTATTACTCTTTCCATCGACGTGCAACAGATGCTTGTGAGACTCACTGGTCTGAAACCATTTGGGGCTGTTCTCTCGCCACCTTTATAAATGGGGCTTATATTTGCTTTCTTTCAGTCGGTAGGCAAAGCCCCGATCTCCATCGAAGTTTTGAAGATCTTGGATAACGGAGAGGCCAGTTGGTCTGAGAGTTCATTCAGAACTATCGCGAACACGCCGTCCGGACCAGGGGATTTAGGGGGCTGTAGTTGCCTCAAAGTTTTCGTTACCGTGTCTGTTGTGAAGTCCACCGTGCTAATTGTACTGTTTGATTTGAAATTTGGGGGGTGAACTCTTTCATCAAAAGCCGGCTGCTCAGAATACACAGATGTGAAGAAGTCGGATAACAGATTCGCCTTATCTGAGTTGTCAGACAACGTATTTCCCTGGCGATCTTGTATGTATAGGAGTGCAGGGAGTGCAGTCCCAGTTGCGTTTTGCTTTGTTCACCTTTCCAAAGAATTTTTTGAATTTTGCGGATATTTTTTAATAGTTTTGACTCAAATTGTGCCCGTTGCCTCATCAACAGATTCCGACATACATTCCTCTGTTTTTTGAAGTCAGTGAAATGCTCTGGTTGCTGACAACTGGCGTACTTTTTCCAAAGTATCCTTTTCAATTTAAGGTTCTTTTTTATTTCTGACGTCACCCACTCTGGTCGGGATGTGCGCGGCTTCCTCTTCAGTGGGCAACAGCTCTCTACCAAGTGCTTCATTATGTTCTTGAAGAAGAGCCAATCGCTTTCTGGGTCAGGTCCTTGTGCTGCATTCCAGTTCACCTTCTGTAGCAGGTTTTTCATTTGGGTATAATCCC